CGCAGCAAGAACTACCCCCGAGGAACACACGAGGGAACCAGGAGAGCCCCACCAGCAAACACACTCAGAACCCACAGGGCCAACAGCCATGACCCACAGGCCCGGCTGGCCCCCGCCATAGACACACGTAGATGTATTTAAAATTTTCATTAGTTGGCATAAATTGTCTAAAGCATTATAACGTGGCCACCCCTGGCCACCCCCTGGCTCCACCCCTGTGTACAAATAAATTTGACTTGAACTGGCAGACCAACAAAAGGGCTGATAAAGTTTTGCGTTGTTATGCTTGTTGTGACCCACCTTTGAAGATCAGCCTTCTACCAACCATTTTGGCAAACTCCAAACTGTTTAGGGAGAGAACATTGTAGAGGACGATGGCCCAGAAGTTGGCAGCATTGAACACACCCCTGATCCTACGAGACATGGCTTCACCCATCGCTCCCTGTGGACACAAAATACTCACACAAGTTAAGTTTGTTCTTCACATAAATGAAGAGACTTACTGCATTTAAACAACTCTGGTTATTTTACTGACCAAATGGGTTTTAAAGGAAAGTTTTGTGGCATATATATATATATATATATATATAAGTTATGATTACTCACCTCCATGATTGAAAAGGGTGGAAGGGAGAAGAACTTTGCCACCCACAGCTCAAAGTTGAGGCCAAAGCAGTTGAAAAAGGACCAGATGTAAACCAGTTCACATGGACCCAGCCACAAGGTGGTGATAGCAAAAGTGCATATGGTTGCAAGGAGTTCTTTAAAGATTTTGTCATGGTCCTCGCCAATATAGTCATAAACATATCTGCAGAATTTCAACACAGATTTAACACATTCGCAAAGTTATGAACTCCAGAAGGTTCTGTCCCTTCATCCCCAGGAGGTTAAATGTAAACACTCACCTGCAAAGCCAATCATTGATGCCTCTGTCAAAGTGCCTGCAAAATAGAGATTTATTTCAGCCTTATTGTTTGTTCGTTTTTCAGGAAAAACAACTGCAAAGTGATTTAATAATTCTGAGCTCAATTACAGGAAATCCAACATACGTCTCAGCYAAGACATAGAGCATGGTGATACATTTGGGAGGCTGAGGGGGATCCAAATGATCCAGTGTAGCCACAGTGTTAATTACGCCGAACATTACAGCTGCTTTTATCCAATCATACACCAGGTTGGAATAGGCCAGTCCAGCTGCAAAGTACAGAGAATACAGATAACTCACTGAATATAGTTCTACTCAAGCTACAGTCTACTTTTAGATAAGAAAATTGTGCAGAGAAGGTAATAACAATACTATTCATGAATACTGTTTAGAGCATCTTTGATAACCTATTTATTTTATTTCTTTCTGTTTTTCAAATGTTCCTTTGTAGGAGTTATATAAAATTTTTATACTTAAAATACAATAATACTAGGGTACTACAATTTAATTTTAATAGAGTACACACTTTCAATAACGATTGCAAAAAATCTAATAAATAAGAGATGTTTATTCACTCACCCAAACACCAGTCAGAAAGCTTGGTGACCAGTTTCATGTCGCTGGGTATAGTTAGGATGTACAGATAGTGGAAGAAGACGTCCACCACAAGGATAACTCCCAGGTGCAACAAGGCCTTGGTGGTGATGTTCCACATCTCTCTTTCCTTGCGTGTTAACTGGGTGTTGTTTGCCTGTGGAATATAATGTGATCAGTGATACAAGCAGCTAGATTTCATAAGTTTAAAATCTAATAGAGCAGTAACAAATAGCTGAACATATGCTTACAAAAACTCTTTGAATGAACATACAAGTTTGTTGTTAAATATTTTCTTATGAACTTGGGGCTTTTGTTCCAAATAAAGCAAATACAGGGTGAGTCAAATGTCCCAGGACACCCTTTGATTTAAAAAACAAAAGGGAAAATTACATTTCTGAATACCTCAATGGGTAAGGGGACCTATCTCCAGAAGGTGACTGACATCTTGAAAACCATCATATTAGATAAAGTGTGTTAGTGTTTGTGCATGGACCACTAACTCATGACACAGTCTTAAGTCACAGGTTACAAAAAGCTGGAGAGAGCTAATGAAAATCTAGCTTCCTCTCAACCAAATAATAAAAAATGTGATTGAGACTAAATTTTCTCCAGGTTGTCAGTGAGAAACATCATGCACACTGGGAAGGACTCAGGTTCTCGTACTGTTGCTTAATTTTAAACGTTATTTAAAATGATTTGTTATGTTAGTTAGCTTGTTAGCTGCTGTTTGTCTCAGCTGCCTGTTTTGACACCGAGCTGCTTTTATTATTTTTATTACTGAGTGTTAATAAAGCAAAATTCCTGTCAAGTTCTGGCTGTTTCCACTTCCTGGTTACCCTTTTTTCAGGCAAAATCAAGTGGTCTTTAAACTGCTGTGCATCAAGATTCTGAGCAGAACTAATAGTTAGCATCACCAAACCACAGCAATAACAACTCACGCTTTTGCCACGCTCACCTACCTAACCCTGCTGCTCAAGGGTTACGAAGTCTTGTGAAACAAAGAGAAGTGGGCCACAGCATACTGATAGATAATGTTAGAAACAAATGCTGTGAAAAGTCATTTGTCTAAAGTTTTTTTTTCACCTGACGACGATGGAGTCATTCAGCTTGACTGTATGTAATAACATTGATGAAAAAAATTCAGAATGTGCAACCTGAAATGTTTGTAAAAAACATTTATGGCTCGTGAACCCAAGGTTTTTAGCTATTGAGAAACACTCCAACCGATAAGGAACTCATGGGTTTTCTGGGCCTTGCGGGTTATTACCACAGTGACAGATCTGTTTGAACCCAAAGTTAGGTCTGGACAGGTTCATGTCAAAACCATTCTCTGTTCTCACCCTGCATGGACCATCTGAGCTCTAGTTGGATGGAAGTGATGTAGGCAATGAGGTATATTGACTAGAGGCYTCACACACACTTCAGAAGACTGACCACTGRGGTACGAGCGCAACATCACATWGYAAGTGCAAGCTGTCACTGTAAGCAATTTAACATGGCTAGATTTCCACATAGAATTGCATATAAATATCAGTTTTTKATTGGTAAYCTTCTGCCTTTTAGAAAGATCGTTCATTGCAGATGCTTGTACGACATGTTTTTGTCTGARATGATAATGTGTACTGACAAGCATTACTGTCAAATCAAGATAATGGTTGTCAATAMCAAACTGAGTTTCATTGATGTGCTGACCTACATTTAACGTCATGGTTGCTACATTCAGCTTCACCAGTTAATTATACTGTTTGTTGAGCTGTCCTCACCCTGATGGCCACTCTCTCTATGAGAGCACCTCTATTCACCTCATAGGATGTACTGTACTCAGTGGTTCCCAACCAGCTGGTCCTCAAGTACCCCTATCCAGCATGTTTTACTTGTTTCCCTGCTCTTCAGCAGGTCTTCAGAAGATTGTTAATCACTCATTCATTCAAACCAGGTGTGTCAAATCAGGGAAACATCTAAAAATCACTGCTTTAAATGTTGACCAACACCTCAAGAGCTTCTCTGAGCTTGACGAGACATTTTCAAAATATAGTACATTTTTTAGTGTTGCCTCTGGAAGCCATTGATTCTTTGCTATTTACACTCACCGGCCACTTTATTAGGTACACCTGTCCAACTGCTCGTTAACACTTAATTTCTAATCAGCCAATCACATGGCGGCAACTC